TACGGTATTAGAATTGGCATATAAATTTTCTGAGTAATAAGGAGATTTATACGTCCATCATAAATAAATCCTTTCCATCTAAATTCTCGTCACTACACACCGAACGTTTGATTTTGGTGTATAGATCGACATGGTGAGCACTCGAAGCGCATTCGGAAACGGTAACCCACAGCCTGAGCCACAAGTGATCGAGCGTGCATCAGAAGTAGCAGTTGCACCTGAGCCAATCACGATGGCAGGAGTACAGGAAATGGTGCGGATGATGTTGGATCAACAGATGGAAGAGACAAGGCGTTTACTTCAACAAAGTAAGGACGAATTTACTGTGCCAGTACGTCAGGCGCCTACTCTTGAGGCAACCATATGGGTTGCTAAGTCTGTCGAAGAAATGATCAACGATAGGACCACCAACAATGTTGAAGTGGCCGGAAGAGGAAATTTGAGGCGTCTTCAAGGTCCAATAAGAGCAACATGTTCTTAAAGTCTGGCAAAGGAGGAGGTAAAGAAAAATGGTGCGAGAAGTGCAAAAATAAACACTCTGGAAGGGATGTGACTTGCTTCAAATGTGGAATGACTGGGCAATACGCCAATAAATGTATATTTAGCAAGAAGGTGTGTTATGGATGTCGGGAAGAAGGGCATTTATCTAGGGACTGCCCGAAGAAAAATGAAGCAGCAAGAGCGAATGAACCTACAAAGCCAAAAAGCATCTCAGAAAATCCTTGACAAAGAAGGCGACAACGCAAGGAATCACGAGTGAGGATTTTATATCCGAAAGTCAAGATATGAAGTAGCCATGTAGATAGTACCACATGGTGTAGCCTATTAGAGTCATAGTATAGGGTGAACTTGAACGCCTATGTAATCGTTTCAAGAAATAATATAAACCCTGGTTTTGTTATCTGATGTGTTAAATGATTATGTGAAATTCTGGAATGGTGACTTGGAAAACTGCGAGACAATACTTGGGACGAGTATGAGTAGGTGTGAATGGTAGTAGAGGCCTATACTACCGGAAGCACAGGACTCACACTTGGATCAGGGAAGGTCACAAGGTTACCAAGAAGCTAGTAATTGATTCCATTTTGTTCATATCTGTCGTTACCATCGATTCGGTAATGACTAAGAAGATGATTGTTATTCCGACCCAAGAGGTCATATTGAATCGAGTCCGACTAATATGAGTATGTTATGTGGTTCAGAGAACCAAGTTCGATGTAGTATCCCACTCAAACTAGAAGATTGAAGTATCGAAATCGTTGTTAAAGTAAGAAGCTTGTAGCTAGAAGTACTACATGCTAGAATGTGATATTATCAAATTGGAACACGAAGGAAGGTATAATTCATTCAGGAACTCGACTCTAAAAGACTTGAGTCTAAGCAGTACATTATACAATAAGAGGTCATTAGAACATGACCCATCAGTCTATTATGGAAATCAAAGGAAAGAACTTATCTTAAGTTGTTAAGGAGAAGGAGGAGTCTCAAATAAGGATCGAGATTATGACTTAAAGGTCACGATTGAAAGTCCAACATGGGATAGAGAGTGGGTGCAAGATCGAGCACCGCCTGCAGAAAAGAATTCAAAAAGTTAGATACTTATTCGAAGGAACATAATAGTTACGGCTATTACCTAAGATGAAGAGATAACGTATGGAGTCATTATACAAGCCCTGTATTGGTGATGATTCTGGGACAGAGTTGAAGACACCGTAGTTTATAGCGATGCATCTGGAGTTGGGTTGGTTTGTGTTCTGACCCAAAGAGATAAGGTGATAGTGTATGCATCTCGACAATTGAAAGAGCACGAGATGGCTCCTAGCACTTTGTCTGTAAGACCCTGGGTTTTGACCCTCGGTCTGGCAAGGAAGACCATGATACGGCTCGTGGCATAATGGCAAGACTATGGTTGGCACATAACACTTTTTATCGATTACTGGATATGTATGATATGTATGTCTCGTTTGATATGTATGATATGTTGTATTTAGGGAACTCACTAAGCTTTGTGCTTATAGTTTGTGATTTATGGTTTCAGGTAGTTCCGGTTCGAAAGGGAAGGGTCCGGTGTGATCGCAGCGCATACACCCGTGTTTTCCGCAATACGTGATTTTGGGAATGAACTCTGATAATTGTTTTTTTTAAGATGCTATTAAATGTTTGAATAAAATTTACATGAGTGTTTTGATTATAATAAAAATGAAAATTTTACCCTATGATTTTCGGGATGTTATAATTGATCCTAATGCCATATTAAAAAAATTTATGGTATTAGAGCGGGTCTAATTAATTTGTCTCATAGACCCTAATTGGCGACTTCAATATGGTTGCTGGAGATGATACAACAACATCTGAAACCGATGAAAACGCCACCGACACAAACTCCCCACATTACATACATGCTCCTGGATATTCGAGACGACAAATACACGTAAACGAGGTCCTTAGAGACAATAATTAGAGCGACTGGTCTCAAGATACGTTGGTCTTCCTGTTCCCCAAAAACGAAGAAGGTTTCGTTGATTGCTCCATAGAGAAATCAGAAGAAGCTTTGCCCAACTAATTGGCCTTGATGCTATGTGATGCAATGATAAAGGGTTGGTTGACCACGACTATAGAGAAGAATATCAGGAGCAACATAAAGTATGCAAATACTGGAGCAGAGATATGGTTGGATCTTCAAGAAATATTTGGAAAGGAAAGTGCATCAAGAGCCTATGAACTAAAACAATCCTTCCCCATATATGTTGGTTTTGATATATCCCACTAAACCACGTGGGAAAAAATTCAATATATCTCCCATCCCACATTGTACTTGCAACAAATATGCATGACATTGGAAAACTATTGAATGAAGCAAAAGAAAAAGAAAGATTGTATGAGTTATGATGGGATTTAATAGTGATTTAAACACTATTAAAACTCATAAATAGTGATTTCAATACTATTAGAACTCATATCTTATTTATGACACCAACCCAACACTTAGGACTGTTTATCACTTGGTGGCTGGAGATGAACAACAAAGGGAAAATTCTACACGAAGAAACCACCAACCGATCTCGCTGCCTTCCATACATTCACCCCTAACCATTGGGATAACATTACAAATAAACCACAATATAAACCAACCTAGAAAGACACAGAATACAATAACCATAATGAAGTAGAGCACTACAATTTTTTTGGAAAAGATGGACACAACCGTGAATGATGTTTTAAATGAATAGGTTATCTAGAGTGGTGACCAAGTAAGGAAAAACGCGTATAGGAGACACCCAAGGCAACTTGCATAGACCCAAAACCAATTCCTATTACTGGATTGTCCACTGAACAATAAAAGAATTTTGAAGTATTTCGCCAAGGATGAGAGAATGGCTAGGATCAAGGCCATGCCTACAGTAAAGTCCGATATGTTGATCCAAAGCGATGGGTTGTAAATTTGGGTGTTACCGAACACATAACTTGCAAGCTTGTCTCATTGTCTGGCTTAAAAACAAAACAAGAAGTATACTTGAGACTCTTATTTTTATATCAAATGGAGATACAATAATAGTTGACGGAGGTGGAATTGAGATAAAAAAGTCTTATGCATTCCTGATTTTAATTGCAACTTGTTATCTTTTAGCCGGTTAAGTAATGATCTCCAATGTGCAATGTGTAGCAACCTTCTTTCATGATTTTTTTTTGTGTTATACAGAGTTTACAATCGAAGAACCTGATTGGCATGAATAAGTGCAAGGCGATTATTGTGTTAAAGCTGAGCACACTAGGTTACATTTTCCAACCAGTTCAACAAAAACAAGTAGTTGTTTTGAGTTATTGCATTGTGACATACGTGTAATTAAAATATCGAACACCTTTTTTTTTCTATGTCAAGTTATTTTTTTGACAATCGGAGATGACTTTAGTAGAGGTGTTTGGGTCTTTCTACTTATACATAAGCATGAAGCTAACATGTTTAGTAAATTTTCATCATTATCAAGAATCAATTTGTGAGGTGTATCAAGAAGATTAGGTGTGAGAGACTTCTATGTCAGAGCAATGAATTTTATTGGAAACAACTTGTCCACATACACCCCAACAAAATAGTCATGTTGTGGAATGGAAACAAAAACATTAATTTTCTTGGGATCGCTAGGGCTTTTCGGTTTGAAGCTAACCTTCCCACTAAGTTTTGGGGAGAGTGCATCCCGACGTCTACCTACATCATAAATGGACTGCCCTTTAAAGTTATCGAAAACAAAACTCCATATGAAATTCTACTAAGTTATGATCACATGAAGGTCTTTGGGTGTCTAGCTTATTACAGAAGTATCGAGACAAAAGGAGCTAAGTTTGGAGTCTTCTTGACTCGTGAGTGATTACTGTCACATAACAACATAACCTTAAACATGAGTGATTACTATCACATAATTAGCAAAATAACCTTAAACATATACTCCTATATTATTGAGACATACACAAACTATCTGATCAGTCGTCCATCCGTCCATTCTCATCTCATGATCTCACCTCATCATATCAACCGGGTTGGGTTCATAAGAAGCTTATTATTCACTCCACTTCTATACAACTCCAATTCTGTTTCTGTACTCACACAAACCTCTGTCCATACAGGTGCAAATAAAGTCGAACCTTCCCACACTCTTTCTTCTGATGATGATGTCAGCATCAACCCCTCTCCTGATACAACCACAAAAACTGCCGGCCCCATGACAGCCGGAAAAACAACTGATGATCCTCCGGTCAACACACACCGATCAACCTCAAACTCCTCAAATGGGGGTGTGTACCTTCTTGTATACGGATTCAACGGCACCCCTTTCAAGATCTCAGGGGTTGCGTGATCATACATGCATTGCATGTTTAAAACAATAGTTTGTCAATTACCTAAAATGCCCTTGACTTGAGGAAATGTATGTGAAGTTAGGTACCTGGTTATATGTGAGCATGGAACTAAGGACATTTACGTCCATGTACTTTGGAGTAAGGCCAGCTCACACCACATTGTCTGAAGCCGCCATGCACTCCACACACTCACCGGTTAAATAAGCATGTGGATCGTTTGCTCCTATGTATAAAGCTTCACCCGGGTTTAATATCAAATGGTTGAGTAGTAGAGCTGCTAACACACCCACGTCATTAGGGTATTGCTTCTCAAGCTTCAACACTAGTTCTTCCTTACTACTTAACTCCCTTGTCTGATAATAAAACGAAAAAAAAATCATTTAATTGCAAATAAGACCTCGACAATTTAATAAAAATACAATTTATACCTCCTTTTCCCTGTTTAGACGACTAATCAATCTGGACAATGATGTGGAAATGGCGTCCCGGTCAACCGACATGAGTTTGGTAAATATTGACCTGCAGAGAACTCGGTCTTCTTTTACTTTTACCTCCCCATTTTCAATTTCATTAATGCCAACTAACTCATTAATCTCGGGGACACTTTCAAGGACAACATCGAGTTCCTATGATCATTAATCACATCACAGGATTCTTAATTTGAGTAAGTTATATATATATATATATATATATATATATATATATATATATATATAAGGCAAAGTTTAAACGAAATTGTTATAGGAAATACCTCGGAAGTAATAAACCCACATAAGGCTTGGAATTGTGTTAATGCTAGAGCCATTTCAGGCTTATGGTTTGCGTCTTTATACACATTTGGTTGCAGCTTGTGAAGAAGCCCTGCTAATTCCTTATCTGGATGGGCTTGTATTGACAAGGATCGACCCACTGAAAGGACCTGGTTGTACACACGTGTACTTATTCTATTAATGGTAAGATAGCAAGTATATACATGACAAAATTCATTAATTATAGTAAGAAATAAAAGAACAAATATTGGTTGTATTTAATTGCTGGAGGTGAGCTGTATTTTTTCAGATTTTCTAAACTTATCTTTCAAATTTTATAGATTTTGGAAATTAAGGTTGTTGCAGATCAAGCCATTCTTCATCATATTACAGATAAGAGAAATTAAATATCCTCCTACTTTTTGTTCCTACATATCCTCCTACCCAATGAAATGGTGACATGTGTAACATTTAATGCTTATTTAATGAGATTTAATGATATTTTAGGATACTCATACAACACATGTCATCATTTAAATGGGTAGGAGGATTGGTAGGGTTAAAAGATAGGAGGATATTTAATTTGTCTTTTAGTTGTTATGTTTTCTAAGCATTTCAAGTTAAGGTCCAATAAAACATAAGTCAAACACAAAATCATAATTGGTTAACTGCAAATTCCTTTAATACTATAAATAACTTTAAATGGTCATTATAACAAAAATAAATGGCGATTATATATATATATATATATATATATATATATATATATATATATATAGAAGTAAGTTCAAATAAAAACAGTAAGCAGTGTGAGAATGTAAAAACAATATGTTTATGTTATTATTCTGTAATGAATGTTGTATACGTGTACTGTTGAAGTAATTCTAATATGAATATTAACGTTTGATTATTCATATATTCATTAGAATATTATTATTCTATTATAAATTTATGTATGTGTATTTTTGTAGTAAATTCTAATTTTAGTTTTAACCCATGACTATTCATTTATTCATTGCTGAATAATGACATAAAATTGTGGATACAAAATTCATTGCAGAATAATAACATAAAAATAATATTTTTACGTTCTCACACTATTTACTGTTTTTATTTGAACTATCCCAATATAGAAGTAAGTTCAAATAAAAACAGTATTATATATATATATATATAGATATATATATATATATATATATATATATTATATATATATATATATATATATATATATATATATGAAACGACCAAATTTTATTAAGACTCACCCAAAATAGCAAGCGACTATCGAGGAGCGAGAGTCAAACATACAAGCATATTAGAGAAATTTAAAGGAGATCGGGTAAGAACAAAAGTCTTCCTAATTATAAATAACACCTTTTCCGCTGCACTTAATCTACATATATACCATCGCCTTGATGTTATCCACTACCCCATTTGGATTAGTGAATCTTGTCTGGAATAAACATTCATTGAGTGCTCTCCAAAGCCCCCAAAACATCCCATAATTAACAAATTACATTTAGTCACTCCCTTGTTTTCGAACACCAACCCCAATTTGCTGCGTATTGAACCATCTCCTCTATGTTTTGAACATTTAATGAAGTAATACCACACCAAGTGAATATGCTTTTCAAAACAGTGGCTACAAAAGGGCAGTTGACCAACACATGTTTCGCATATTCTAACCCGCCTATGCAAGAACTACATGAGCATGGTTAATCTTGACACCTCTATGTGTAAGGGCCATAACTGATGAGATTCTACCAAGCGTAGCTCTCCTGATAAAAGTTATGACTTTATGGGTATTAATTTACTCCATGTGATTCGAGTGTGGTTATTCGTGGCTGATGATTTTATTTCAATCTTCTTCCTTAACAGATGCATGCAATATACACCGTAAGGTGCTAGTATGCAGGAGGTTTGGTCCACCTGTTTGGATAGTAACTAACCCTGTAGCTACTAATAGGTTATCCACATGGGAGGCTAAACCAGTAGTCAACGGACATGACTTCCATTTCCCATTAAATCTCCCTGCCTTAATTCTTTCAGACACCTTACATGATTTGTTTCTTTCAGTCTCAAGAGTCTTGGATATACTATTTTTAATTTTTTAGAACCTGGCAATATGCCTTGCCAAAATTGCGTATTATATGCTGACTTTATTATTTATCGAAATATACCATTGAATCTAAAACCCATCTCCTTAATATCCTTTTTCACACCATCAATGTTATTCCATCCTCCTTTTATTTTCTTTTTAGCTAAATAATCAACCGGTGTGTTTTTCAAATTGTGTAGACCAACAATGAATTTGGCCAATAATGAAGATGATTCTTATTTGATTCTCCACCACCACTTCAATAACAACACCACATTTAATGCTTGAATTGATCCCACCCCAAGCCACCAAATTCCTTGGGAGCAATTACTTTATCCCATGCAACCCAGTGAATTTTGTTATTTTCTTTATTCCCTCCCCACAAAAACTTCTTCCGGATCTTTTCGAGTGATTCTATGATACCGATTGGGGCTCTAAAACATGACATGTAGTAAGTTGGAAGATTTCCCAAGACCGCCTTAATCAACGTAAGTCTCCTACCAAATGACAATGTTTTAGACTTCCATCTAGAAAGTTCGGCTTGGAATTTATCTATAATTGCTATCTAGTTCTTTATCAACTTCATATTTGCACCGACCGACACCCCAAGATACGTAAAGGGGAGGGAGCCAGCCTCACACCCCAGAATTTGTGCCTACCTTCTGTTTTCTCCTGTGGATAGACTAACACCAAAAACCATGACTTTATGAAAGTTTACCTTCAATCCTGCGGATAAATGAAAACACTTAAGAATAGATTCAAGATTTTTCAGCTTATTTCTCGACCATTCCCTTACAAACAATGCGCCATATGCATAAAAAAGGTGTGAGATTAACATACCATCACTAGGTACTTATATCCCTTTGAATATGCCTTTGTCAACTGCCGTTTTCATCACTGCATTCAACCCCTCCATCAATATTATAAATAGAAAAGAGGAGAGTGGATCCCCTTGTCAGACTCCTTTAGAAACGTTGAACTCTTTAGTTCACAATCCATTTATAGCCACCAATGATCTCGAGAAAGACAAGCAACCACGAATCTACGACCTCCATTTTACTCCGAACCCCATTTGAGAAAGAATCGAGTCAAAATATTCCCATTTAATGGAATCGAATGCTTTATCAAGGTCAACTTTAAAAGGCAGGATGTTTTTCTTGATGCTTTTGGCCCATCCACATAGTTTTGTTTACTAACAACGGTCCATCGAGTATACTACACGCCGCTATATATGTCGATTAAGCCTCTCCCGCTACCTTACTCACTATTGTCTTTATCCTTGTGGCATGTAATTTCGAGATTATTTTATACATACAACTAATCAAGCTGATTGGCCTATAATCACTCAGGGTGGATAGGCCTTTGACTTTTAGAGCGAGTGCTATGCAAGATGAGTTGCAACCTCTACCTAGGGTGTCGAACTAGTCAAAATGACGTACAAAATTCTTCACATCATCAACGAAAACAACCGAATATATATTTATAAATTTAAAGCTCAGCCCATCTGGTTTCGAGGCTTTGTCTCCACCACATGCCCATACCACCTTCTTAACTTCATCGACCGATAATGGGGCTTTTAACCTGATGGTGTCCATCATATCGATAGATTTGATGTTAGGGTTGATGAGTTTGGATCGAGATACCCATTGTTCTCTAAATTTGTTATGGAAAAAATGGAAGGCTTCATTTTTGATTTTGTTGACACAGTCGACCGTCTTCTGTTTATCGTTAGACTCGCAATTATGTTTTTCCTTTTATTCTTATTGACGTAGACATGAAATAATTTCGAGTTTTCATCACCATCTACCATCCATATTGTTTTCAACCTTTGCTCCATATCCATCACATTCTTCTTCTCGAAATCCAGAAGTTTTTGTAGACCGTTCTAGTTTGTTATTTATTGGTGGTGAGTTCTCGAGATTCAACCAACTTTTGTAGTTTTCTAATTGTTTCTTTTGTACTATTCAACTCCTGGTTCTCTTTCTTTTGTTCTTATCTTCTCTATTTTCTTATTTCTTATTTTAGAATGTTTCTGTTTCGCTGCCAAGTAAACATCAACACTACCGTACCCATGGAATCCTACCTACACGTTATGAAAAACCCGATATAAACCTTCTAACATCAGCCATGAGTTAAAAAAATTGAAATATGGGGTGATCGAAATCTCCATATTTAGTGGAGAGAGTAATTGGGCAATGGTTTGAGATTTCTCTAGGGTGAGCAGTAAATATCAAGGATGGAAAGGAATTAATGAAGTTTGCGCACGCCTGGAATCTATCGAGTTTACTGAGTTTCATATCAACTTTACTCATGAAAGTGAATCTTTCACCACCCATGTTGAAGTCTTTAATATTCACACATCGTATGAATATATTAAAATCAATAACACTAAATGGGTAGAAATGTGATTTAAACCACTCCTCATTCCTTCGCACCTTGTTAACGTCACTAAAGATTTAACCATTTGTTGGATAAGGTGTCTAAGTCCATAACTTATTTGGTATATACTTGACCCGACCATGCATGGTCCATTTGGGTTGCACTTCACCCGGACTATTTATATGGATAATATTATGAGAAGAGTATATTTGCGGCTTATTAATATATTATAAGTTATAATATATTAATATGAAATTGTATTATTTAATTAGTATTCATCTTAAATTAATTATGAATTAATTTAGTGATCAAATGGTGACTAATTAAACATGGGCTATTATATTTATATAGTGTGGGCTAACACTCATTATGGTAATGGGCTAAGCTTATATGGGAGTCCATGGATGATCCATGGAGCTCTTAACCATGGATCCTTGGAAAGGAAAAGACATGGGTTATTAGGGTTTACCCTAATCATGTGCACTATATAAACAAGCGTGTGATGAAATGACACCCTAGTGTGTGTGAAGAAAGGTGGCCGATTTCTAGAGCATAGATATACTCTCTCATAAGTTT